TCTGGGTTTTGTGGGGCTCAGGCTGCTTTGCATGCCATTGCCGCTGCCAGCCTGAGTTGGGGAAAGAGGGGCATGGGTGTGGTGGCAGTGGCTCTGCATGCTCGGACTGGCAGCAGCTCAGCCTGTCCTCTTTTTTGCTCTTCAAGATATGGCAACCCTAGCAGAGGAAGCAACTCCCAGGGGCTCGCCCGGCAAAATATTTGAGGGGGCTGGGCCTCCCCAAAGTTGGTGGGCATTGCCATTCTAATGGTGAGCATGCACTGTGTCTTGTGATTGATTCTCTGGGGCTGGGGTTACCTGGCCTCCCCTAATATTTTATTCAAGTTGGCACCCCTGGCGCAGAGGATAATTGGTACTAGCTTCTTCATTTCTGATCCTTTACATCCTTTCTTCTAATTTAACTCTGTACAGATAATCAGGAACCCAACAAACTAAAAGTTTACACAGGAGTGGGAATGTTACAGAGGGTATTAAAAAAAAAACGTTGTTCCCAACTAAAATCCTTAGTACGCCTGGATTAATTTTCGCAAAGTACTTGATGGATAATTAAGGTATTGAATATAGTATAGATGATGGTTAAGGCAATAAAGGACACAGGAAAAAGGAAAAAGAGAGAAAGGGAAAAGGGAAAAGAAAAGGGAGAACCGCAGTGAGGTAGACGGAAGATCCTGAAGACATATGGTATTGAAACTTTTTCAGTGACTATGGGTTTATTCATGATCTCTTTTTTTCACGTCTTTTGTGTATCTTGTGTTGTTTGGAAGATGAATAGAATACTTGTAATTAATGGGGGGGGGACTCTGTACACATCTGAGTGGGAAACTTTCTCCTTTTTTTGTCTTTCTAAATTCCTGAAAGAGGAGATTCTCAAAATCCAAGCATTTCCTAGGGAAACATGCAAATCTGTTTCAAAGGTCTCACCTCTATGATGCCAGTCCTGGATTTTACCAGTCTGTGTTGTTGGCTCTCTTGCTTGAGGGTTTCGGCTCTTTGATTCCAGAAAGGATTCATAGTTCTAGCATAACAATCAGGGGTTAGAAACTCATTTTTCTTAGAACTGTGCCTTTCTTTTTTTATATAAAAAAATATATTCACCACCCACCCATCTGGCACTGCTATGGTTTGCTGAATGTTTAAAGAATATCATGAGACTTCCTTATTTACTGTAGCTTTGTGAGTTTGTTCTTCTTGTCTATAATCTGCACGTTGGTGGATAGGGGCTAATTTTAAGAGTCAGCAAAGACCTAGTTCTGAACTTGCAGGGCTCAGTGCTAGAACAGGCTGCAACTCCCATCACCCCTGACGTCTTGCTATGTTGGAGGGCACACATCGGCTGTCCCGGGCTTAAGCAGTGAAGCTGGTGCCTCTGAGCATGTTGAGAGGGCATTGAGAATGCTTGGGTTCTTGGCAAGTTTGAATCCCGCCACCTCTCTTGAAAAACTAAGCGGTTGATCCTGGACTAAGGGGCTGCATTACTTCCCCAGCGACTCGCACTTCCATGGGTAGGAGCATTTTTTGGGGAAACTGCACATTCCCCATCTGAATTCAGTATGAATGGCCTTCAAACCCAGTTTCTGAGAGTGACAAGGGCCCCCAGTATCCCCAGAGGGCCCACGGGAGTGCCATAGCATGGGGGGCACAGAGGCAGTTGCCTGGGGCACAAAATTTCAACACCCTCAATACAGCTGTGTGCTTCCATCATGCTTCCTGTGAGCCAGGAAGTGACTTCTCCAGACAACAAAATGCCTCTTCTTTTCTTACCTCTGTGGCTGCAATCTCCTGAGTGATGCGGACATAATTAGCCAGTTGAATGTGCATACGTATCCCATCCGTTTCCTTCCCACCCTGCCCTCCACACAGCCCCGGGCACTGGAAACCCATGCTACACCACTGGCCCACCATCTGCATATCTGCCACTATCACTGAGAATTCTCACTCTGCATGTCCTGTCTCAATGCCTTGCCCAGTGGGGTACTCCCTCCCCAAATCTTAGATCCAACAGCAATGCTTGTTGAAACTAAATACAGTCATACCTCGGGTTGAAGTAGCTTCGGGTTGAGCGTTTTTGGGTTGCGCTCCGCGGCAACCCGGAAGTAACAGGATGCGTTACTTCTGGGTTTCGCTGCTCGCGCATGCGCAGATGCTCAAAATGATGTCACCCGCATGCGCGGAAGCAGTGAATCATGACCCGCGCATGCACAGACGCTGGTTGCGTTCGCTTCAGGATGCGAACGGGGCTCCGGAACGGATCCCATTTGCATCCAGAGGTACCACTGTAATGTGCTTTGTACAGAGGTCGCCCGCTAGTCTGTAGGGCCTGTTGGCTGGTGGCGGCTTTTCCCAGCCCTCCAACCCAAGCTCTTTTCCATGAGAGGTTCAGGGGTCAAACCTGGAGCTGTGCAGAGCATGTACCCCATCACTGAGCTGCAGACTTGGAAGTGGGCATGTGTAGGCTGGTTAAGTTCCCAGGTGCCGTATGCCCTGTGTTAAGTGGCTCTGAGATTTAGAAAGAAATAATGGGATAACATTCAAGCTCTACTGGCTTGGTGCAAAGTAAGTGCAGGCCTGGTGTCACTATGTGATAGTCATTTTTTAGTAAACCTTGGTTACTGGTAACTATGATGTCGATCCTCTCTGGCTCTGGTGGGCATCCTAGGTGGTGGAACATGAAAGGCTGAACTCCTGTAAATTAAACACCAGCATTTCCAGCAGGCTGCTCCCTTCATCATCTGCATGTAAATGAAAAACAGTGAATTCTGAGCTTGGAGGGAAGCATGTTCTGGGTTGCCTCTTCTCTGCCTCTTTTCACCCAGATCTATCCTCCTCCTGCAGCCTGATCCTGTGTCCGTGTTTACGCAGGAGGAGGCCTGCTAGATTGAACAGGACTTTGCCCCCAATAAAGTGTGTGCAGGACTGCAGTCTCAGGATATGAAAGTTGTAAGAGGAAACCCCAGGAGCGGTGAAGTCTGTCAGATACAGTGCTGTGATTCCGAAAAGTCACAACTATAGAAACACATTGTTGCTATACAGCTACGTAGAAATCCCAGATTCTTTCAGGGACATTTAAAAGTCACATGCACAAACATAGTGTTTCCATGGCTTTGCGTCAAATAAGCACATTGGTATATCAGTCTGCAGGTTAAGTGTCTGAAGACATCACTAATAGGGCTGTAGCTCTCTGCCTTCCCCTTCAATTACTCCTCAATTTAAGCAAGGGTGCCTTAGTTTACTAAACCAGACATTGTGGCTTAGAGTTGCTTGCGAATGTGGGCACTGCTTATGAACACAGTACAGTGGTACCTCGGGTTAAGTAATTAATTCGTTCTGGAGGTCCGTTCTTAACCTGAAACTGTACTTAACCTGAAGCACCACTTTAGCTAATGGGGCCTCCTGCTGCTGCTGCGCCACCAGAGCACGATTTCTGTTCTCATCCTGAAGCAAAGTTCTTAACCTGAAGCACTATTTCTGGGTTAGCGGAGTCTGTAACCTGAAGCGTATATAACCTGAAGCATATGTAACCTGAGGTACCACTGTACAGACGTACCTCAGAAGTCGAAAGGAAATCTGTTTCGGAAGTCTGTTCCACTTCTGAAAAGTTTGGAAACCAAGGGACGGCTTCCGATTGGTTCCCGATTGCACAGGCATGCCGGAAACAATAGCAGAAGCCACACCGGACGTTCAGCTTCCAAAAAAAGTTTGAAAACCAGAACACTCACTCCCAGTTTTCGATTGTCCGGGAGCCAAAACGTTTGACTCCCAATGCATTCGGGAGCACAGGTATGACTGTATACAGTAATTTAAAAAGTTTCTATTAGAGGAAAATGGAAAGGGATGCTATCAAAAACTATTGTAAATTTGTCGGTGATCAATAAATGCAAAAGCTATGATGTTTAGGTAGCTTTCCACAGGAGTTCCAAACTAGAGCTAAGCTCCCATAAATGTCCCTGGGTTGCAAGCAATATCAACATATTCTACGACTCTGGGGCAACACTAGGGTTCACCTGCAATAGAGTGTGCTTGTGTGTACAGATAGAGCACTGTCACACAGGGGCTGGTGATACTGTTCCTGAACGCTAGTGCTTTCATCTACTTAAGTACCAGGCACAGGAATGGTTTGCCATGCATGTTCATCCCTGACTTTGGCCCAAAGCTCTGGATGATCTTTCCAGCTTCTTGGGACTCGGCTACATTAATAAAAAAAAAGCACTTTGAACGCGTTATAAACATGCAACACTAGATGGTTCTGGAGAGCAAAAAATAAATTCTTTGTGATTTTACATAGCATTTCCCCCCTTTTGTTATAACCATTTAATGTATGACTTATTTATAGCGGTTTTTTTCCTGTGTGTAGACCCGCCCCTGATATGCAGCCTCCTCTCCACTGCTGACGGTTATGTCCTTGTCAATGCGAGTCTTCTGCTAGTATTAGGTGCTTGTGGGTCTGGCTCATCTTGACCCCAGGAGCCTGCCGGGTAGATAGTGGCCTTCCGCCCTCCAGCCTTTCCCCTTTCCTCTTCCCTTTTTCTTTAATTTGATTTACTATTTTGAACTGTGTGGGTCAGTGGCTGTGCATGGCACAGTGAAGAGGCTGGTGCCAGGGAACAATGTGGTGCAAAATATATAATGAAGCTTCTCATGGGTTGCCAACATGGTGCCTGCGGGCACACATACGCCCCCCAGGACCTTCCCTGGTGCCCAGAACGTCCCATCCCCCTTCTCCTTCCTCTGCTGAAAGAAGCCTTACTTAACCATTAGTAGACTTTTTTCTAGCCTAATTCCATGAGGGGGGTGATTACCAAGGGTGGGTAGTGGGAAGTTGCAGTGCACATCTGGTGCCCCCAACAGTTTCTCTGGTTTGCACATGTGCCCACAGATCCAACACATGTGGTGCCCCCTGCAATATCTCCTCTTCTTTTTCTCCCCTTTGCTTAGGTGGGGTCTGGGGGTGGGACGCAAAGCCATTGACCCGAGGTTGATGGGCATCCTTGTGTGTTTCTCAGGTTTGCAAGAAGATGGTGAGACTCCACAGGTCAGCCGGAGCCTTGGAGAGCTTGTGCCTTTGACGGAGGAGAGACCGCTCTCTGCGCGCCATGGCCCACCTGACGCGGCTGCTCCGGCGGCACTACGGCCCACTGAAGCTGGCTTTGGTGGGCGTCGTCTTTGTCATCTTCCTCTTCATCATGCAGAGAGATGTGAGCAGCGGGGATCAAAGGGAGGAGCCCTGGCTGAAGAACATTGTGGACAGGAAGGATCAGATGATCGACATCATGATGGGGGCGGTCAACAATATCCGGGACTCCATGCCCAAGCTGCAGATCCGGGCTCCGGTTCAGCAGGAGGCCCTTGAGCAAGACACCAAGTCCTGCCTGCCCGGCTACTACACACCCGCAGAACTGAAGCCCTTCATGGAGCGCCCTCCGCAGGACCCCAACAGCCCGGGGGCCGATGGCAAAGCTTTCAAGAAGGACCAGTGGACGCAAGAAGAGACGAAGGAGAAGGAGCGGGGCTACGAGAAGCACTGCTTCAACGCCTACGCCAGTGACCGGATTTCCCTCCAGAGGGCTCTGGGACCAGACACTAGGCCTCCTGAGTAAGAACTTCATCTTTGTCCACTCAATATAGAACAGGCATAGGCAAACTCTGGCCCTCCAGGTGTTTTGAGACTACAATTCCCATCATCCCTAACCACTAGTCCTGTTAGCTAGGGATGATGGGAATTGTAGTTCCAAAAACATCTGGAGGGCCAGAGTTTGCCTATGCCTGATATAGAATAATAATAATAATTTATTATTTATACCCCACCCGTCTGGCTGGGTTTCCCCAGCCACTTTGGGCGGCTCCCAACAGAATATTAAAAACACGATAAAACGTCAAATATTAAAATTTCCCTAAACAGGGCTGCCTTCAGATGTCTTCTAAAAGTCAGATAGTTGCTTATTTCCTTGACATCTGATGAGAGGGCAGGCTCCACTACCAAGAAGGCCCTCTGTCTGGTTCCCTGTAACCTCACTTCTCACAGTGAGGGAACCGCCAGAAGGCCTTCAGAGCTGGACCTCAGCGTCCAGGCTGAACGATGGGGATGGGAACGCTCCTTCAATTATATGGGACAGAGGCCATTTAGGGCTTTAAAGGTCAGCACCAACACTTTGAATTGTGCTCAGAAATGTACTGGGAGCCAATGTAGGTCTTTGAAGACCAGTGTTATATGGTCTCGTTGGCCACTCCCAGTCACCAGTCTAGCTGCCACATTCTGGATTAGTTGTAGTTTCTGGGTCACCGTCAAAGGTAGCCCCACATAGAGCGCATTGCAGTAGTTCAAGCGGGAGATAACTAGAGCATGCACCACTCTGGTGAGACAGTCTTTGGGCAGGTAAGGTTGAGTGGATACAGGCAACCCTTAACTATGTGGGTAACTGAGCATTATGGAGATACAGTCTCATGGAGAGCCAGCCGTATTCAGTGGGGGTGGGGAGCCTTTGTCAGCCTCAGGGCCACTTTCCCTTCTATGCAACCTTCTGAGGGTTACATGCCAAGGAAGAGCAAAAGTGGGAGGAGCAATATTTTACCTGTGTGCAATAGGCTAGTTCCTACACAAACTCTCTACTCTCCATCCAGGCAAGGAAGAGGAATTATTAGTGTCCTCAATCCAGTCAGGCAAAAACTCTTGAGGCTGCAAAGCGAGACCAGTGCGGGGTGTAGCTTGGGGAGAGTTAAAAGCCCAGGAGACTTTGCATCTCTGGAAGTTGCTTGGGCTGAACGATGTTGCCTTGAAGTTGCCTGGAATTTCCCAAGATTACTGGGGACTCAAATATTAGTCCCCTGTGTCCAAATTTATCCTCTGGCCTCTTGCAGGCCATCCGACTTGGCATAGTCTTGATACATGTCATCTAACAGAAGTTGTCTCATCTTTGTAAATGTTCACCCTGGTGCAGAATTTACCCTGGCAGAACTTGAAGAGTGTTAAATTGGTCTTGGGGCAATTGTGAGTAGTGTTAGGAAATCATTTCAAGATTTGATATAACAGTTGTTACAAGACTTCATTTCTGAGCTGGCATGCAGCGGCATCTAGCATGTGATTGTGATTGTGATGGCATAATTGATAAGCAGTGGTATATTTTTTTAAAAAAATTAAGGTATTTATAGGCTATCTTTTAGGGCAAGGACTCCAACAAGGCCAATAAAATGCAGTAGGAAGAATCAAAATGGCAAACGCCATAAACACATAACATCAATATATCTTTAAAACAATAAAATATATAGCCACTAGGATGACCATGGCAGCAAATATGACATTTGTTGTTTAGTCATTTAGTCGTGTCCGACTCTTCATGACCCCATGTACCAGAGCACGCCAGGCATTCCTGACTTCTACTGCCTCCCGCAGTTTGGTCAAACTCATGCTGGTAACCTCGAAAACACTATCCAACCATCTCGTCCTCTGTCGCCCCCTTCTCCTTGTGCCCTCCATCTTTCCCAGCATCAGGGTCTTCTCCAGGGAGTCTTCTCTTCTCATGAGGTGGCCAAAGTACTGGAGCCTCAGCTTCAGGACCTGTCCTTCCAGTGAGCACCCAGGGCTGATTTCCTTCAGAATGGATCGGTTTGATCTTCTTGCAGTCCATGGGACTCTCAAGAGGCTCCTCCAGCACCATAATTCAAAAGCATCAATTCTTCGCCGATCAACCTTCTTTATGGTCCAGCTCTCACTTCCATAAGCCGAAAGATGACATTAGACCAGCTTAATACCATTAAAACCAGCTGGACGTGTAGCTTGCTTACTTTAGGGAGCACTTTCCACGTTGTCTTCTTTGCCAAAGAATTCTTACATGCACCCTATGCAACCTTTGCAAATTTGCCGTGTATGCATACCATGTTGTTTTGCTTCATCTCCACCCACTGTGATCGAATAATGTGCTCTGTAACACACCCAATGTTGCCCTTTATCTATATGTTGCAGAGAAAGATCCATTGTGATAGGGAAAGTATATTCCAGGAAGATTGTCTCCTGTTGATGACCTTTCCATTGAGAAACTCCAAGGATCCAGGGTTCCTTAGCACAGCCTTTGACAGCCAGGTGCCCTCTGCCTGTCATGGACTACAACTCCCATCATCCTTGACCATTGGCCATGCTGGCTGGGGATGATGGGAGCTGAAGTCTAAAGTGTGCATCAGGTTGGCAAAGGTTGCCTTAATGATCGCTCATTAGCATATTTTGAAGACAGTGGGGAGAATTCAGCGTCATGCTATTATGATAATTTCTGCTTGCCTGACAGGATGGTCTCCCTTCTGCTCTCCCTGTGTGCTGTTCTGGGGTTCCTCATGACACCCCCCCTTAAGCCTATTGGGGAGGGAGGAGAGCGTAGAAAACCCCATTGTACTAGATGGAGTTCTTGCGCTGGCTCCCACTAGCACAACCATTTTGTGAAATTTGGATCAATATGTAATTAATTAGGATAAAAGCATCAGTACTGTAGAATGGCTAGAGCATTGAACTAGGACCAGTGGTAGATGGCCAATCAGCCATAAAGTTCGCTGGGTGACCTTGAGCCAGTCACACACTTTCTTAGGGGCTACAACTAAGAACATTGCTTACAGCTCCTTGGAATACAAGTTGTTTGCATTATTATTATTATTATTATTATTATTATTAGGGTTTCGTATTTGTAGCATATCAAAACAACTAAGAGATTCCAACATGTCTGAAGCTTTCCAGTTGTGAGGATATTATTTTTTAACATCTCGTTGAAATTGTGAATGTGGAGTTCAAAATTCTCATTTAGGAGTTGTTTGGTTGGTGTTTGGGTTTCGTTTTTGTTTGTTTGTGCTGAGCTTTAAGTATTTTGCAAATGTTCATTTTGGCTCGAAGTGAAAGACCATTCAAAATTTGTGAACTGGTGACCACCTGGCAATACTGGCTGAACTGTCCTGGTGAAAATAACTCCATAGCTGCTACTTTGGGCCATTTGGAGGTCTGTGATGGTGGGGTTGCTATCAAGAAGGTCTCCCCATATCCAGCTGCCTGCACAGATTCCTGGGCACTGTCTACTGAAGAAGTGGCAATCGGCAGGCAGCTGGGGGCAGGAGGTGCATTTCCTTCTGCCCAAATTCACTCTGCTAAGAGCTGAAATCTTGCTGGTTCTCATCCGTGGTGAAGAGAAAGGCCTGAGGTGCGTTTCTCGCTTTTTAATTATCCACAGCTACCCCTTCTTCTCCTGCTTTCCCCTACCTTCTACGCCCCACTAGCGTCCCATTTATCAAGCAGCAAGCGTTTACAATTGCAACCCTCTCTTCTCCCCCCCCCCACCAACCCAAGTTCAAAAACTTTTTTATTCCATCCGTTGCCCGCCCTTGGTTTTGTTCCGTTCCTTCCCACTTCTAACAGTTTCGGCGCCCCTTTCCATTTCTCCTTCTTCACTTTGCTTGCCAAGTGGAACAGACACGGCTTACAGTACAGCAGGGGGGCAAGGAAGGAGTCAAACATGACCCCTTCTTCCCCCGCCTCCCCTGTGGTCTGAGGCCACTGTTGCTTCTCATACAGGGGGAGATAAGTCAGTCAAGGCCTTGCAGTGGGTGGGAAGAAGTGAGCCAACAAAGGCGACCCGAATAATGGCTCCAAAAAAAAACTAGGCTGAAGGGGGAGTGATTGCAGACAGTCTCTCTCCTCTCCTTACCTCCCGCCCTCCCAGCGACCGATTATTTCTGCCTAGCAGGTGTAGATGTCACAATGGAAGAATACCCTGTTCTATGCAGGGAGCTGCAAGAATGTTATTCAGTCAACCAAAGAGGCATAAACCAATTTAAATTAAAGTGCAAAGCCCTCCCAGAACCAAAACCATAAATCGGGAGAGCTGGGGAAATTGGCTCAGATGGAGGGAGCCCATGAATGAAACTTTTATTGTTGAGCACTTTGGGGGGGGGGCAGGGGGAGAGGCAGAAGAAAAACCTGATCTACCATGTGGAACGTATTCCCCCTTTTGATGTGGACCAGAGGTATGCGGCATGCAAGGGACTCGTCTGCCTTCCTGCTGGAAAATTCAGAGAGAAGGGTATGGGCATTGAAATCAAAAGAGATTGATGGGAAGGGGAGCAAGTAGTAGAAATTATTTAAAGCCTTGGACTCTCTTTTCCCACCCACCCCCCTCGTGTTTTCACCAAGAAATGCTTCATGTTGCATGTCCTGGAAATGTTACATATAGAATCAGAGAATCGTAGAATTGGGAGGTACTCCAAGGGTCATCTAGTCCAACCCCCTGCAATGCAGGAATATCAACTAAACCATCCATGATTTATGGCCATCCAACCTCTGCTCTCCAAGGAAGGAGAGTCCTCAACCTCCCTTGGGAGACTGTTCTACTGTCTCTCTTCAAATATCTCAAGGGCTGTCACATGGAAGTGGAGACAAGCTTTTCTCCTCCTGCTCCGGTTTCAAGTTACAGTGGTACCTCAGGTTACATACGCTTCAGGTTACAGACTCCGCTAACCCAGAAATAGTGCTTCAAGTTAAGAACTTTGCTTCAGGATGAGAACAGAAATCAGGCTCCGGCGGCACGGCAGCAGCAGGAGGCCCCATTAGCTAAAGTGGTGCTTCAGGTTAAGAACAGTTTCAGGTTAAGTACGGACCTCCGGAACGAATTAAGTACTTAACCCGAGGTACCACTGTACAAGGAAGAAGATTCCAACGAAACATCAGAAAACACTTTCTGATAGACAGTAGAATGGTCTCCCTCAGGAGGTTGTGGGCTTTCCTTTCCTTGGAGGTTTTTTATGATTCTGTGATCAAAAGTTCTACCTGATTAAAACTCCCATAAATAGTTATGGTCATAGCAGGGTTGGCCCAAGACATTTTGCTGCCTGAGGCAAAAGACAAGATGTGTCTCCCCAACACCATCACGTCATGTGCAGAAGCTGAGAAGACTGCCAATTGAATCCTCCTTCAAGACTGGCAGTGAGGTAGCAGCATTCACACATACAGTTGTACCTCTGGTTACGTACTTAATTTGTTCCAGAGGTCCGTTCTTAACCTGAAACTGTTCTTAACCTGAAGCACCATGTTAGTTAATGGGGCCTCCCGCTGCTGCCGCCGCACGATTTCTGTTCTCATCCTGAAGCAAAGTTCTTAACCCGAGGTTCTATTTCTGGGTTAGCAGAGTCTGTAACCTGAAGCGTATGTAACCTGAAGTATATGTAACCCTAGATACCACTGTATAAGCAGAGCTCAAGGTGATACCTCTAGCATTTGGGAGGGTGATACTCAGAGGCAGTACACATTACTCTGGTCTATTCTGTGGGGGGGTAGCCGAATGGTTGGTTGCTGATGCCTCCCTCCCAATATCTGCTACCCGAGGCCATTGCTTCACTCTGCCTCATGGTAGAGCTGACCCTGGTTTTTAGCAGCATAGAGACCAATCTCTATCTGCTTTAAAGAGAAGCTTTTAAGATTCACTATAGGAATGGGGAAGATGTAGCTCTTTGGGTGATTCCCAAACAGCCATTCTTAACAGTTGGACCTACTGGCTGAGGCTGATGGGAGTTGTAGTCCAGCCATAACTGGAGGGCCACATGTTGCCCCATCTCTGCTCTAGTAACTAGAGGGGGAACAGAACAACCCTTCCTTCATCTCATGCACACCACGGATGTTCCTTTTGTAGGTGCATCGACCAAAAGTTCAAACGCTGCCCGCCCCTCCCGACCACCTCCGTTGTCATCGTCTTCCATAACGAGGCCTGGTCAACCTTGCTTCGCACTGTGTTCAGCGTCCTATACTCCTCCCCAGCTATATTGCTAAAGGAAATCATTCTTGTGGATGATGCCAGTACAGATGGTAAGTACAGTCTCTTGGGAGCTGGAGGCAGGTGGGCTTCACCCTGAAAGGCAGAACAAACCTCTTGCTTTTGCATAAGGGCTCTAGGGATGAGGGAGACATTTGATTTGAAGGTGAACCTACCTTAGTCACACTTTCTGGAGCAATATGCAAACTGAAACACAGCCCTCCTCCAAAATTCACACTTCCCTGAATTTTGCAATGTAGTCATTCCACCAAGTAACACCCACAAAAATGCATTATATTAGGGCAAAGTATGCTGTGAGTTAAACCACAGAGCCTAGGGCTTGCCGATCAGAAGGTCGGCGGTTCGAATACCCATGACGGGTCCCTGCTCCTGCCAACCTAGCAGTTCGAAAGCACGTCAAAGTGCAAGTAGATAAATAGGTACCTCTCTGGCAGGAAGGTAAACGGCGTTTCCGTGCGCTGCTCTGGTTCGCCAGAAGCAGCTTAGTCATGCTGGCCACATGACCCGGAACCTGTATGCCGGCTCCCTCGGCCAATAAAGCGAGATGAGTGCCGCAACCCCAGCCATGACTGGACCTAATGGTCAGGGATCCCTTTACCTTTACGCTTATATAAATGCATATATTAATGAAAATAACATGCAAATGTGCAGGATGGGGAAATTGCTTTGCAAAAAAAGTATGAGGAGAAATTCTGAATAAAATGCTGACAAATTTTCATGAGGGCTTTTGGGGTTTTAAAAATATCGCAAATTGCTGTGGGAATGTGGAGAGCTGAATATTTACCCAATTGTTCTTTATTTTGAAATATTTATCCATTGCGACTATTGGTGCTGTTTCTGCAGCTGTTTTCATTCTTCTTTAAGGAAACCCCCTTCCAGTTTTGTGCCAGCAAAGGTGAGATTCAGAGCTCAACCTAACTAGTAGTCCTGAAAGAGAACTTGCCAGAGAGGAAATATACAAGTAAATCTGGTAGTGGTCAGATCCTGGTGTAGTTGGGTTTCCCCAGGAAGTGAATAACTTTTAGGCTCTGCCTTTTGTAGCTTTCCCTTCCTGGTGCATTGCTGTTAGAATGCACCCTTCAACTTGATTCACATTGTGGCAGGTTGTTGATGGTTTTGCTTTTGTTCTGTTTATATTGGGGGGGGGGGTTAATCCTGCTACCTTGGATCTCAAACATCTTGGTTCCCGAACAAATCGGCTCCTGCACAATCGAAACCTAGAAGTGAGTGTTCCGGTTTTTGAACAATTTTCAGAAACCGAACGTCCGGCTTGGCTTCCGGGGCTTCCAATTGGCTGCTGGAGTTTCCTGCAGCCAATCAGAAGCCGGGCTTTGGTTTCCGAATGTTTTGGAAGTCGAACGGACTTCCGAAATGGATTCCATTCAACTTTCAAAGTACGACTGTACTATTTCTGCCATTTGACTGGAGACACATTTCCCCATGATCTGTAGATGTGACAGGCCATATTTAGCTCCCTTCTGGGAATAAATTACTCACTTGGGCAACTTTAGTAACCACAAGCTGCCATTTAGTAATCTAAATTGGTTGTGCCCGAGGTTAGGATAATGACACAGTTCAACATCAGGACTTCCCAGGGGTGGAGCAGGGAGATGAAGTGTATCTGCCTCTCCTGAATCTCAGCTACTCAGGTTCTCAGAAGGCTGTTGAATTCATCAAGGAGGGTTTGTGAGTTCTTTTTAACATATCAGCTAGTCTAATGTAGATAGTTATTTAATCCCTACTCACTCTAAGCTCTTCCAGACAACTTGTTTGTTAAGCATTCACCCTGTTTTGCTTGCACAAAGCTTACACGGGGGTTAGATTCTTTCCAAACTTTATTGAACATTTGTTCTGATTTGTTTACAGAGCAGTCAAAAGTCAAGTAATATTTGTTTTGTGTTCACACTGATTTGCTTGTGGGGTGTTTGATATGTTTTACCATTCATCTGTTCATCCCACACTTCTCCGTGCGTTCCCCATTACTTTCCTAACTGCAAAAGTCCCCTTTGTACTGGATTTTTTGTGCTGGGGTAATGACAGAGCCCTTTAATCCACTTTAGCTGCTCAAATCTAAAGTACTAGGTTGTGCTTGAGTCCCTCCTGCAAAATAATGACAGCCTGAATGCAGCAAATCTTTAATCTCTGTCCATCTCTTATGCTTGGAATTCTCCTCCGCTAATACCTGCTTAGCCCTTCCTTCCTTCCTTCCTTCCTTCCTTCCTTCCTTCCTTCCTTCCTTCCTTCTTTTAGAAAATGCCATCACTTCTGTTTGGGCCTTTGAGCAGGTATACAGTGTGTTCACCATCTCCAAAGCAAAAGCTCTGCTGGGAGTGTTGCTTAATTTCCATCTGCTCATGGGTTCTGGGAAGGCTAAGAATGCATGCAAGTTTTGGCCAGCATGGTATGCCTGGGCACAGAAATGATAGGTGTTTGGCCCTAAATCTCTGTGGTCAGTGGGAAGAACTGGGGAGAAAAACTAAAGGCCTGTTCAGCACGTCATACTGTTGTTGGTGCAAGACTTCTGTTGCCTTCTGAATCTTGTGCTGCAATAAATTAGGTGACCCAGAGTATCAGAACTGTATGGTTAACACTTGCACACATCAAATAGAAACCCACTTCCTTGTGGGTTTTGTTCTGTTCTGTTCTGTTTTGGGTTTTTGCCGGTTCTTCCATCCAGAACATTTGGATGCTACATCTAGTCCAGGGATAACCAAAATTGTCCCCTCCAGATATTGTGGACTACAACTTCCATCTTCCCTGACCATTGACTATGCTGGCTGAGGCTGATGGAAGTTGTTTATTAAGTATCACCAAGTGCTTGGTGCACTTCCAGACTGTCGCTCTTTTCAGGTGAGACTCAACCACATAACTGGCCAATTCAGGTTGTGCAACTATAATTGACTTGTAGGTCTTGCACAACAAACCTGCTCCTCAAAAGATCAACCTTTTTGTGCTCAGAAAAGTGATGGGGAAATGCAGTAGAAAACAGGTTGGGACACTTACTTTGATATAATGTCATCTAGCCTCCCTGCAAACAAAGCAAGATGAATGTTCAATAAATAGGTCATCTGGAAGCACCTTTAGCTGTTGTCTGGAGGGAGGGGAGGAGTGTGTGTGTGTGTGAGAGAGAGAGAGAGAGGGGAGAGAGAGAGAGAGAGAGAGAGAGAGAGAGAGAGAGAGAGAGAGAGTTACTGTAGCAGGCTAGCACAGCTACCATTTATATGGCAGTTGCCTCCATTTCACAGCCATTGTTTTTCTTGGTACTGCCTGTTCCTGCGGATGCTGTTTCAAGCAGTCTCTTCCGTGCAGCTGCTTTTCAAGTTTGTCTCAAAACCCAATGCGGCAGAAGAGCAAAAGCAGGCCGTGTCTCACCACAGTGGCTTGAACCGCTTCCTGTCATGCGCCACACCTGGCAGTGAGCTGGGTGCCCAAAGAAGGACCAGGGCTTGGATTCTAAGGGATGCCTTCTAAACAGTCCTCTCAAGGTTTACACCGGGGATAGTTACAAACACAAAAAACTGCAAATATGTTGGAAACAAGACTTAAAACCATAGCCCTCCCCTAACACTCCATACACCCCTGTACAAAGGGCCTACAAGACAGGGCTGTTTCCCTCCTCTTATGGTCTTGATTTATCAGCTATTTTAAAATGAGGCTGCATTTTAAATTGCATTTTAACCTGTATTTTAAATTCCTCTTTTTCCCCTATTATGTTTTTACTGTGATTTTATTGGTGTTAGCCACCCTGAGCCCGGCTTTGGCCAGGGAGGGTGGGGTATAAATATAATTTATTTATTTTAGAGCCAGTGTGGTGTAGTGGTTAAGAGCAGTCGACTCGTAATCTGGTGAACCGGGTTCACTTCCCCGCTCCTCCACATGCAGCTGCTGGGTGACCTTGGGCTAGTCACACTTCTCTGAAGTCTCTTAGCCCCACTCACCTCACAGAGTGTTTGTTGTGGGGGAGGAAGGGAAAGGAGAATGTTAGCCGCTTTGAGACTTAAAGGTAAAGGTAAAGGTACCCCTGCCCGTACGGGCCAGTCTTGACAGACTCTAGGGTTGTGCGCCCATCTCACTCAAGAGGCCGGGGGCCAGCGCTGTCTACAGACACTTCCGGGTCACGTGGCCAGCGTGACAAGCTGCATCTGGCGAGCCAGAGCCACACACGGAAATGCCGTTTACCTTCCCGCTAGAAAGCGGTCCCTATTTATCTACTTGCACCCGGGAGTGCTTTCGAACTGCTAGGTTGGCAGGCGCTGGGACCGAACAACGGGAGCGCACCCCGCCGCGGCGATTCGATACCGCCGACCTTTCGATCGGCAAGTCCTAGGCGCTGAGGCTTTTACCCACAGCGCCACCCGCGTCCCATCTTGAGACTCCTTAGGGTAGTGATAAAGCGGGATATCAAATCCAAACTCCTATTAGAATTGACCTCCATTGCTCCAGGTGCTTTTGCCCTTGGTGCCCTGCCCCCAGAAGGAAATGTGCCCCCCAACTGCAAAAGCTTCTCCACTCCTGCCCTCCCCATTCCCTTCCCCATCCCCTCCTTCTCTTCTCTTTGCCCTGCTTATTCCAGTCCGAATCCATGACCACTTATTAGTTTTTAATATGTTGTGAAAGTGGGGAAAGAGGATATGTTAAGCAGCTTTTTTACAAAAAAAGGTTTTAAAATTGTGCTCGGAACGAATCTCACCTTTTGCATCATTCCTTTTCCACGCAGTTGCCAGGCTTCTGAGCGCTGCACCCCTCTAACACTTGATACACTCTGTTCCAGACTACTTGAAAGACGAGTTGGACAGCTATGTGAAGCAACTGCAGATAGTGAAGGTCGTCCGGCAGCTGGAAAGGAAGGGTCTGATCACTGCCCGGTTGCTGGGTGCCAGCGTTGCCACGGGAGACGTGCTCACCTTCCTAGATGCTCACTGTAAGTCGCAACTCTGTCGGTGAGCTCAATCCTCAATGTGGGGCCTCTAGAGGCAAAATATTGCCAAGGCTGGCAACTCTGTCTTGCTTCGCAAAGCCAGCACACACAGAGTGCTGTGCACATGGTTTGATTGCTGTACCGTTGAGGCTAGTTTGCAAACTACTGCTAACGGCAGCATCCGATCGTGAGCTGCATGCGTGAATGAGCTGCTGCAGATCAAACATCACAGATATGAGTCTGGCCATTGCCTCGTGTGCTGTGCTTCTCAACCTGAGCTGCTACACAAGGTCAGTTGTCGGTGATCAAGTGCAGAAGAACAACGTGGTTTCTCTGTACGTGTGCATCAATGTGGCTGGCAGCTGAAAGTGTGGGCAGACTCGGCTCTGCAAGACTGTGCGTTAGGAGATGATGTGAGGCTCAAAGGGCTCACTCAGACATACATGGCATCAACAGGCTGATCCCAAGGTAGAGAAATCAAGAGACTTACATGCATGTGTGAATGTCCTCTTTTATTGGGGGTGAGAGTGAGGAATCCTGATTTGGTAACGTTCTGCTCATGGAAGGCACAATAGGATACAGCCCCGTGCTGTGTGTTATGAAAATGGCATGTTTTGGTTCTCTCTTTCTTTCTATTCACACAAAGTGTGGCTTTCTTTGGGACGCAATTTATTTGTGCCTGCCCTGGCTATTGCATCAATAGCAGAATAGTGTATTTTTGAAGGAGGCTAAAAGGTGAAAGCCAAAAGGAAGGAGTATTCTTCTTCCCACAGTGCATAGCAGCAGAACTATGGTGGAACAAATGGGGGCACCCAGTGTGGGGCCTGTCATAGTTCCAGACTCTTTCTGGCTGGGTTGAATTTTGTTGAATTTTGTTCAATCTCAAGGAAGCCGCCACGCAGTTACAGCAGGATGGCCTCATGGTGTTATGTTCTCACAATGGACTACAACTCCCATCATCCCTAGCCATTGTCTTCATTGGCTGGGGCTGATAGGAATTGGAGTTGAACAACCTCTGGAGGGTCACATGTTTAACCCAAACATGTATTTGGGGACCCATTTCTTTTTCTTTCTTTTTACTATGTATTTAATGGTGATAATGCTCCTGTTGAGACCCATCAGGCTGCAACTCACCAGTGGCTTCCAACCTGCTAGTGCTTTAGTGCTTTAGTGTATTGCATTGGGATGTTTTCTTGATGTTACCACCAGAGGCCAGTGTGCATTTTCACAGTGGCTTTGCACAATATTTTTGGGCCTTAAAATGGTTATTATAGAATGTAAATCAGTTCCAGGCTATGAAATTAGAAGTATGAGAAGTCAGGGGAGAGCCCTGATATTAGCATCCAGTTATTTGGAGTTTTCCAGTTCTGGGCATCTATAATAGTGTGGTAGACTGCTAGGCAGCGGACATTTTAATAAAAATTGCTTCTGCATGGTAAGGTGATCAGAAGCTGCCATTTTCTCCTTGGGGGACAAGGAGAAGGTGGGAGAGAGAAGAAGTGGCTGTTACAATGTCAAGAAGTGGCTGTTACAATGTCAAGAAGATGAGGTCAAGGGAAAGGAATTGCGAGAGGATTTGCAAGGCTGAAATGACCCGGGAAAATCAAAGCTTGCTTAGAGACAACATCAGATGATGCCATCCATTTCTCCTTCTCTCTTCCTAGGTGAATGTTTCCATGGGTGGTTGGAGCCTCTCTTATCGCGCATTGCTGAGGAACCCACCGCTGTGGTCAGTCCAGATATCACCACCATTGACTTGAACACTTTTGAGTTTTCCAAGCCAATTCAGTATGGGAAGCAGCACAGCCGGGGCAACTTCGACTGGAGCCTGACTTTTGGATGGGAGTCCATCCCTCAGCATGAGAAGCAGAGAAGGAAAGATGAGACTTATCCCATCAAGTAGGTCCATGATGAAAGCTCCTTTTCGATAGACCTTTTGATGCCATTCACTGATAAGTAAACCTCTGTGCGGATCACAGTGTAATCTGCACCAAAACCCACACACTCACCGCATAGACCTGATAAAATTTAGTAATGTTTGTTTGGCTTCATTTGTTGGATCGATTAAAAGGTTTTTGTTTTTTTTAATTTATCCAAATGCCTCAATGAGACAGGAATGCAACTGATGTTGTGGTGGTTTAAGGCACTCACAAAAACTGCAGATGGGAGGTGTCATCTTAGAAGAGTCATGAATAATAATAATAATAATATCTTTATTGTCATTGCCCCCTCTCGGGGACAACGAAATTACTTGACTGCTCCATAAAAACACTAATTAAAACAATACAGTATAGTACAGCAAGGAAGATTAGATGACTTTCAAAGTCCAGGCTTCCCATTCAGGGCCGAGATCGCTCTGGAGAATGAAGTGGAAAAAGAGAGGAATGCCTCTCCTAAAACGGTCCCTTTGCGTTGTTTGTGATGATGGGTAGAATAAGGTAGCAGCATCCTTCTTGCTTCATTTTAGTTGTGTGAGTGATAGCAACAAAGTTTTCCAGGCACCTCCTTTTTGGCGCTGGAATCCCACCAACACTGTTTCGCTCTTTCTTTCTCTTTCCGCCTGCCCTCTTGGCTGTCCTGTAGGAGATAGGAAGAGCATGGCCTGAGGAGCGCATCAGTTGTAGTGGGGTGGTTGGACCTGTTGTTGTTGTTTAGTCGTTTAGTCGTGTCCGACTCTTCATGACCCCATGAACCAGAGCACGCCAGGCACTCCTGTCTTCCACTGCCTCCCACAGTTTGGTCAAACACATGTTCGTAGCTTTGAGAACACTGTCCAACCATCTCGTCCTCTGTCGTCCCCTTCTCCTTTTGCCCTTCATCTTTCCCAACATCAGGGTCTTTTCCAGGGAGTCTTCTCTTCTCATGAGGTGGCCAAAGTATTGGAGTCTCAGCTTCAGGATCTGTCCTTCCAGTGAGCACTCAGGGCTGATTTCCTTCAGAATGGATAGGTTTGATCTTCTTGCAGTCCATGGGACTCTCAAGAGTCTCCTCCAGCACCATAATTCAAAAGCATCAATTCTTTGGCGATCAGCTTTCTTTATGGTCCAGCTCTCACTTCCATACATCACTACTGGTCCAGCTCTCACTTCCATACATCACTACTGGTTGGACCTATTCTCCCACAAAACCCCAACTACAAAATAATAGCTAAATGATACAACACTGTGGCACTGTGAGGTTTGAGGTAATAATTGAATGTCAGAATTCAAAACTTCAAAAGTGAGTTTTTTCTTTCCTTCGGAACTAATTTTATTCGCAGGCGTTTTATTTTTCAAACAATGGTTTGATGGTGATTTGGAACAGCCACTTTTTTCCCCAGTTGGTTTTTCAATAAGCCAGCTACCGTGGGATAAAAAAAGTTTAGGGCAATCGGCGGTGGAATTGAGCCAAAAGAAAACCAGCAATCACAGGCAGAATCAGGAGTTTCTCAGTCCTTCCTGTCCTTCCATGTATTCCAACCTATCAGTGACCTTGCAAACAAAATAGCAAAGGAATTCTGGTATGCAGAGGTGGAGTGGCTTTGAGAACAATTCGGAACATGATAAATGGGTGTGTAAGTGAAAGGCTGGCTGAAGGAAATGTGGAGGAAACCTCTTGCACAGATACACAGGTTTGTACCCAGTAATTCTTCTAGTGGCTGAGGCAACCTTTGTTGTAAATGACCCCTGAGATCTGGGTCAGCCGTGCTTGCACATCACTCTTAATTTTTCCAAGCACCTTATGGTGAAACCTTTGTCCGGCTTGGATGCCTGCAGTTTAGTGTGGGAATAGACACCACTGAAAATAATAATAATAATAATAATAATAATAATAATAATAATAATAATAATAATTTTTATTTTTATTTTAAATAAATAATAAATTTTATTTATATCCCGCCCTCCCCAGCCGAAGCCGGGCTCAGGGCGGCTAACAACAATAAAACAGTACAAAAGTACAGCAATGTGTTTGAGGGTATAAAGATGAAATCATTTCTTTCTGTGCAGTGGGCCCATTCATACACACAAGTCATCCTTTGATACTGCAGTCATCTAGAGATGACTTTGCATGTGGGTGCCAGGCCTGAGATGCTGGGATGAGGACCCATGGACTTCATCTCCCATCATCCCTGACTATTGGCCAAGCCAGCTGGAGCTGCTGGGAGATGGAGTCCAACAATATAACTTTGTGTTGTGGATACCCCCTTAGCGTACCACCACCCCCGTTAGAAAAATATAAATTAATGTGATCTACCTCCTGGCGCTTCCTTGGGATATAAGGATTATAAACCACTTGGTATACTCGGAAGTTCTTTATGAGACACAATGCCAGGACTCCCCCTCCCCTTCCCCCCTTTTTGCGGTACAAAAGCCAGGATAATGAAGGCCGTGACATGAAAGAGACAAGGTTTATTCCTTTCTCTTTTCAAAGCCTGCCAGCCTCTTGTCTGCTTTGGCAGTGGGCAGCTGCAGAGTCATTAAGGTAACCAGTATCCCAACCTCTTAAAGCTCGAAATGACCTTGAATTCATCAAGTGGAAGACATTTAATACCGGCCCTCCGGCCCTCGCCATTGCACCAGCGAGACAAAACCCCTGTTCCTTTTGGCCTCAAGTACAGCTCCTCTTTGTGCAGAGGTCAGACGGGAGGCTGTTCTGCCCCCAATGAAAGGGGCTCAGGGACTCCTTTTTGTTGCTGCTGCATATTCTGAGAGGGAGAGAGGCTGGCAGGTTGGCTTGTCAGCAGCTCTTAATCTGCGCTGCTCGCCTTGGTAAGAACAGAGCTGTGTTTCAGGAGCTGAGGGGACCTTGTTGAAGCAAGTTTTCGACTACGATCTCCGTTTCTCTCTTTTTTGAAAAGAAAGAAAGAAATGCCTCTTGCGAAAGGAGCAGGGCGGATTGAAAAGCTTCGTCCCCAAGTGCTCTCAAATTTGGCTTGGCAATATGCATTTATCGTAATGATACCTGAGGCTGAATGAAGGGCTTGTCTGCCTCCAAAAGGCTCTGCCTTAAAGTTCCTAGTGACTGAGCGCCATCCTAAGCGCTGGGGCTGTTCCTGCTGCTTCTGATGTGATCAGCCAAGGCCTGCCTCACGTTCTCCTCCTTAGCTCTCCCTCTCCTTCAACACATCTGGGCTTGCTTGCTGCTGGTTTTCTCAAGACTAAAAAGGTAAAGGGACCCCTAACCATAAGGTCCAGTTGTGACTGACTCTGGGGTTGCAGCGCTCATCTCGCTTTATTGGCCGAGGGAGCCGGCGTACAGCTTCCGGGTCATGTGGCCAGCATGACTAAGCCGCTTCTGGCAAACAAGAGCAGTGCATGGAAATGCCGTTTACATTCCCGCCGGAGTGGTACCTATTTATCTACTTGCACTTTGATGTGCTTTCGAACTGCTAGGTTGGCAGGAGCTGGGACTGAGCAATGGGAGCTCACCCCGTCGCAGGGATTCGAACCGCCAGCCTTCTGATCGGCAAGTCCTAGGATCTGTGGTTTAACCCACAGCGCCACCCGCGTCCATTTCTCAAGAGTAGACTTACTGAAATGAAGGGACCTAAGCCAGCCATGTCCATTAATTGCAGTGGGTCTGCTCTGAGCATGGCTGAAATTGGATACAACACCATGTCTTGGGCTCTATGCACTTTTGGAAGCAAAATAAGCGTATGAAAGTTTATGCTGTTCATAGTTTTAGTTTGAATGAAGAGTTTGGAATTTCTAGGTGTGTGTGTGTGTGTGCGCGCGCGCGCGCGCGCGCGGCACACAGGTCAACTTCTACTGTTTAAAACATTTAAATCCTCACATCTTATTTTTTAATTATTTGCATTTTCAAAAATGGGAACAGAGAGTATATTTAACCCCCCATCCCCCTTCCCCCTGTCCCACTTACAGCTTCATACCAAATACAGTGTGCATGCACACGAAAGCTCATATCAATAACTAACTTAGTTGGTCTCTAAGGTGCTACTGGAAGGAATTTTATTTATTTATTTTTTACTTATTTTTTTGTTTCAGCATATATACATATTTCAGCATATGTACATATACCATATGACTTCCCTCCCACACTTTTCCTGGTTCCTTTGCTTTTCCACTACACTGCATAATCCACATCTTTTTAATCATCCAATTTGTTCTCTATTAAATGCCCTATCTATTTCAACTCTGCTAGATTTACTTGAGACCTGCTAAGCTATGTATCTGTTTATACTGGTTCTTACAATATTCAATCAACTTGTCCATTCCTCACATCTATTTGACAGCAGGACTCCAAGTAAAATAGCATACGACAAAATAGCATACAACAAAAATATATTATTTTTAAAAGTTTGGAAGGTAGTGGTGACTGGAAAAGTTGCACAAAAAGTGCAGGGTTTTTTTAAATGATTCTGCAAGGACCATGTTGGGAAAATAACCCTACACACTTTGCATGCTCTCCAGCCATGATTTTGTACCCAGTAATTCCTGAAGAACATCTTGAGCATCTGGATGGATTGCACTTCCTTGAGATTTGCAGCAGCAGCTGTGATGGAAGCAATGGATGGGCAATGGTGTCAACTGTCCCTTCCTCTAGGCCTTTGGTGTTCTCTTAGTCCTATTGACCCTTGTTCTCGCACGTTCTTCTTGTTCTGTTTTATTTAATACATGTTTGTTCTTCCTGTTGCATAGCTTAGAACCTGGTTTTAATAATTTCGAAATACAGTTCCAAGGATCAGATCAGCGGTCTATAAGAGCATCAGTTGTGGGAGTAGTTAGATTTTGGGACGTCAGACTACTGGGACCTTGGTATAAGCAATCATAAGCAAATGCACCTCTCAAACACATACAAAATTCATATGCATAATTTCTTTTTTAAAAAAACCTAATTCAACAGAACAGCAAAAAGAAGCACCAACAGGTCACTCCTCAGAAAGCTAGCCTAAATGGAGGTCCCTTGCAGAGTTGCCTGAATCTTCTCTCAGAGCCTCAGGGGTATTGCAAGAAAAGCCTTGGCTCCTTGCTACAGATCTGATCTCCTGTAATGATGGTATTCTGGGGTGGGCAGAACCTGCTTGACTGAAATTGATGCATGCAGCTCCCAGTCGGTGTAAGGAACAAGTCGTAGGTCTATATACCCTAAAGATCAAACTAGGAATTTCAGAGAGGATCTTGAGCACTGATTGATGCTGCAGTTTCCCTTTCACTAAGCATCTTTCTTGCTGGAATTTGAATAACATACTCACAATTCTCCCTTTTTGCAGGACTCCCACATTTGCTGGCGGACTCTTTGCCATTTCCAAGTCCTATTTTGAGCACATCGGCTCTTACGATGATCAGATGGAAATCTGGGGTGGGGAAAACGTGGAGATGTCCTTTCGGGTAAGAAGGAAAGGTACAATATCCTAATTGCAGTACAGCTATGGCTGGCCCGGCGTATTTTCCAACTATACCAAATTTGCAGCACAGGGAAGCATTCATTCATCAATCAATCAATCAATCAATCAATCAATCACCAGCTCTCCAACAAGGCAATCCCAGGGAGAGGATGAGAAACAACATTCCATCGTTTGCTTTGTAATGTATTGCCATTAGGGTTGGTTTGTCTTGCTGCTTTAAAGGGGGGGGGGGAATCAAAACTAAAGGATTGTGACATGTCTTTTTTCAGGTTTCAATTAACCATAATTTAACATTGCACCCAAACCCTAAACCTGTGGTTGATGATATCTGTGATTTGTTGAAACAAGCCAGCTTCATAAACCACAATTTCAAAGTTGGCTTGTTTCAAATAAACCATAGTTAATAATAATAATAATAATAATAATAATAATAATAATAATAATTTATTATTTATACCCCGCCCATCTGGCTGGGCTTCCCCAGCCACTCTGGGCGGCTTCCAAATTAATCATTGTTTGTCGGATTTGGATGGCACAGGGAAGGTGTAGTTAACCAAAACTGGAAGCAAAATCTTCCAAACTCTTCCACCATGGAGAAAAAGGGCTGGGGAAGAGAGGGTCGTTCCTGTTGCGATAAAACATGCATCCTGCATAAGTAGTGGTTCTAACCATGTATATACCTTCAATTTCTATTGATAAAGGATGTGTGCAAGCAGCAATGTGGTTCTGAATTTGCTCACAGCAAGTGTGACAGCTACACATTATTGAAAGAGTTATGCTCCCTTAGAATTACTAGGAAAGTGTAAGAAAATCTGGGATACTGCAAACTTGGTAAAATTTACAGATTAGATATGGGTATATAAAGTAAAGGAAATAACTGAAATCCTTTTTAAGGAGGGGAAGTGTGTTTTCTTTCATTATTGCAATGAAAAGCTTGAGTGGATCACGTGGGTGCTCTTTATGGTGGTTTTACGAGCATAGATGTTAATTTTCAAAAGGGCCCTGTCTGAAAAGCAGCTTTCGAAGGCTAAAAGCTGTTTGGAGTGCCACCCTGTGGCTGCAAGGAAAATCAGGAGTGGGTATAGAAGTTTCTTAGAGAGCCAGGGATCTCCTATCCAGGACTGCCAATGCACACCCACAGAAATGCCTGGTCGTGCCTTCAGTGGTATACTCAGGTCTATAATGTGCCCAAAGCCAACTAGCAGAAGGGAGCAAGTAGCTGCAACATGTTCTGTTGCAGAGACATTAAGCATGGTTGCAGCTGCTTGTATCACCCTAGTGATGTTCAGCCACCCCTGGTTGCTAGCTAGACAAATCTCAAAGTGGCAAAGTCCAGATTACTTCTAAGTGGGACCCCAAGGTAGGGCCCAGTTTCATCCATACCAGAGTGGAATGCGTGCTTTGGGGTATAAGGAATCCTTGGGTTGGTGAAGAGGCCCTTTAGCTCCTCACTGGTAACATTGGGGTCACCAGCTCTGGATGTGGGGCCTGGGCTCCTTTGAAGGGGCTGGTGGGGAAGAGGATGATCTCAGGATTTCTGCTCCTCAGACTCTGGTGCTGTTGGAGCTCTCTGACTCTTGCTGACAGGACCATTCTGTACCTAAATTGCAGCATTCATGGTCGTGACACAAGGGAAGATGATATGTGAAACGCATAATTTGTGTTTCAGTTTGCTAATTTGTTTTTTTGTATAAAAAAATTTATGAGGTTTTTCTATTTTGCATTTTAGAATATTCATTTGAACAACCTTAAAATATCAAGGACTTCCCTTCTTCTCCTTCCATTGTTCAATTTGCATGCCATAGATCCCTGCATATTTTACATAAACTAAACCATTCAGTATTCCATTATTACATCCATCAAAACTTATTTACACTGTTGAATATATCTTAATGCTGCCAGCATTTTCAAATGTACACAACTTTCACTCATATATTCAGTAAACATTTTTCCAATCTTCTTTAAATGTATATTCTTCTTGTGCTCTTATTCTGTAAGTTAAGTCTGCCAGCTGCGTGTATTCCATCAGTTTAAGTTGCCGTTCTTCTTTAGTTGGAACCTCACTCGTTTTCCAATTTAGGGCCAACAAAACACGGGCCACAGTAGTGGCACACATAAATTGCCTTTTTGACACCTGTGAATTTCCATCTGAATTATCCCCAACAAAAAGGATTTCTGGGGGTTTTTTGGGAGGGAGTACTTTTAAACATTTTTTTCAATTCGTTACAAATTATTTCCCAATACTCTTTTACCCTTTTACAAGTCCACCACATATGATAAAACAAATGATAGCTTGCTTTTTAAAGTTGTGGTGAGGAACCTGTGGACCTCCAGATATTTAACTCTGATTCCCATCACTCCTGACCATTTGGGACTCACGCAAGAGTTGGTGGACTCCCCTTCCTTAGAGAATTTTAAGCAGAGGTTGGATGGTCATCTGTCATGTTGGGATTCCTTCAATGCAGGGGGTTGGACCAGATGACCCCCGGGTCCCTTCCAACTCCACAATTCAATGATTTGATGACTAGCGGGAGCTGACCAGTGTCTGGAAGGCTACTGGTTCCCCATTACAGCAGCAGCTTTGGTGCCTGGACTTTCAAGCATGGTGCAGAGCGAGAGAGGCAGTGTCAAACATTTTCTCCATACCACTGTTCCAAAGACAAAGCTGCTATTTCCCCACATGCACCCAAGAAAGAAGAACTGGTGCCCATGTCAGCTTCTCTCCTGTGTGTGAGTTGGGGAGGGGTGGTTTTTGGTAATGGGGAAAGCATTATTTGGGAAGATCCATAGCTCAGTGGTAGAGCATTTGCCTTGCATGCACAAAGTCCCAGGTTCAATCAATGGGATCTCCAGGTAGGACTGGGGCATTTCTAATCTGAAAGCCTGGGGATCAGCTGCCAGTCAGTGTAGACAATACTAAAGTAGATGGACCAGTGCCATATAAAGGTAAAGGTAAAGGTACCCCTGCCCGTACGGGCCAGTCTTGACAGACTCTAGGGTTGTGCGCCCATCTCACTCAAGAGGCCGGGGCCAGCGCTGTCCGGAGACACTTCCGGGTCACGTGGCCAGCGTGACATCGCTGCTCTGGCGAGCCAGAACCGCACACGGAAACGCCGTTTACCTTCCCGCTAGTAAGCGGTCCCTATTTATCTACTTGCACCCGGGGGTGCTTTCGAACTGCTAGGTTGGCAGGCGCTGGGACCGAACAACGGGAGCGCACCCCGCCACGGGGATTCGAACCGCCGACCTTTCGATCGGCAAGCCCTAGGCGCTGAGGCTTTTACCCACAGCGCCACCCGCGTCCCAGTGCCATATAAGGCAGCTTCCTAATGATTGTGATGCTGATTCTCTCCCTTAAAGAAGAGAAAGGCATAAAAGATAGCCACACATTTCACACCTTGGCCCAGGCAGGCTCAAATTAAGGGTTTCTGTTGGGATGGGGGGCACATCTTTTCTGCAGGTTTGGCAGTGTGGGGGCCAGCTGGAGATCATCCCCTGCTCCGTGGTTGGCCACGTGTTCCGTTCCAAGAGTCCCCACACCTTCCCCAAAGGAACTCAAGTCATCTCCAGGAACCAGGTGCGTCTGGCGGAAGTCTGGATGGACGACTACAAGGAAATCTTCTACAGAAGGAACCAGCAGGCCTCCCAGATGGCTAGAGAGGTATGTAAGCCAACTTCCCCTGGAAGTTGCTCTGAAGGATCAGGAGTGCCCATCCCTTGTTTTCAAGCATGTATTTAGAGCAGCCTTCCTCAGTTTTTGGACTACAAGTTCCATCAGCCCCAGCTAGCAGAGTCTATTATCAGGGTTGATGGGAGCTGGAGTCCAAACATCTTGAGGACAACAGTTTGGGGAGGTCTGATTCAGAGTTGTTGCATAGCGTCTTCTCATTTCTGTATGTAGAGCTGATTCAGCTGTAGTGAAGAGGGTTCTCAAACATAGTTGCAGGGAGCCTCACCAAGGCAGGAAAAAGCCCTGTACAGTGGACGCTCGGGTTGTGAACGTGATCCGTGCAGGAAGCACATTCGCAACCCGCAGCACCGCATCTGCACATGCGCGGGTTGCGATTCAGCACTTCTGCACATGTGCAAAGTGCGATTTAGCACATGTGCAAGCACTGAAACCTGGAAGTAACCTGTTTCAGTACTTTCGGGGTTGGCATGGTGCGCAACCCGAAATCGTGCAACCTAAAGCGTCTGTAACCCGAGGTATGACTGTATGGGCATTTCATAGAAGCATAGAATTGTAGAGTTGGAGGGGACCCCAAGGGCCATCTAGACCAACCCCCTGCAATACGGGAACCTCAGCTAAAGCATTCATGACAGATGGCCATCCAACCTTTGCTTAAAAACCTCCAAGGAAGGAGAGTCCAACCTCCCAAGGAATTCTGTTCCTCTGTTTCAGCGGTTGGGTGACTGAGAGTTGCCCCTCTCCAACCCCTGAAGTGCCAAGCATAGGCTGGGGAGCAGGGAGAGATCTGCTGGGACCTTGCCAGGTGGTGGCAGTTGAGGGCAACTTACCCTCAAGAACCTCCAGAAGTCTAGAAAGGAGAGTAGCGTGGAGCTCTTCTAAGCCTTTGCAGACTAAGCCTGGATGCAACTCCCAGGGCCGTCTTACCCATAGGCACTAGGGGTGCGGGGCACCCGGGCTCTCAGGGGCACCAGGCCGAGAGTCCAGGGGCCGAGAGTTGAGTCCAGGGAAGAGCCTGCCCATTGGTTATAGTGCAGCGGCAGGCTGTTCTGCTGCGGCCGGCCCTGCGTTGCGAGTTCGGGAGAGACTGAACCAGCGAGACGCTGAAGCGGCCAGCCAGCTCCACCCTCCTGCGTGCCTGAGCAACTGGGGGGGGCACCGGGCGGATCTTTCCACCCCAGCGCCGCATATGCTTAAGACAGCCCTTCTCACATCTTAAGCTATGGGTAGGCAAGCTAAGGCCCAGGGGCCGGATGTGGCCCAATCGCCTTCTAAATCCGCCCCACGGACGGTCCGGGAATCAGCGTGTTTTTACATGAGTACAATGTGTCCTTTTATTTAAAATGCATCTTTGGGTTATTTGTGGGGCATAGGAATTCGTTCATTTCCCCCCCAAAAAAAATATAATCTGTCCTCCCACAAGGTCCGAAGGACAGTGGACCGGCCCCCTGCTGAAAAAGTTTGCTGACCGCTGTCTTAAGCAAATTAAAAAATTAAGTAAGGAATTGTTTGTTTTCATAATTCATTTAGAGATTTGGTGGATTCTATACAGCAGGGAGGGTGGGCAGTGATAGTGTCTCCTTTTTATGAAGTGATACTTTAAAAACAAACAAACCATGCTGTGCCTTGTCAGAAAACGTATGGAGACCTCGCTGAGAGGCTTGAGCTGAAGGAGCGGTTACACTGCAAGAACTTCACCTGGTACCTACAAACCATTTATCCCGAGATCTTCATCCCAGACCTTACGCCAGCGTTTTACGGAGCCGTAAGTGCGGGTTTGGGGTGTTCATTGCATGAGAGAGTTCTTTCTGGGTCACAGCAAAGGAGCATCTAGCCTTGCCTTCTACATCCAACTGCCTTCCGCCAGATGCCTCGGGAAGAAACACCCCAAATTTTCCACTTGGCCCTTCCTTGGTTCATAATATATTCTGCAGTGAGGACATGGCTCAGAATGCCAGTATCTGGTCCAGATTCAGATTGTACATATATGTATGTTCCAAATCTAGATGGTAGGCCTGTAAAATCTACATGTATAAACATTTAAAATTGCTTGTGTGTTTCCAATCTTCCATCCCACTCCAATGTGACTGAGAGTGAAACTCCGGGAATAGGTTTGATTCTCCACCAAGTGAAAATGGTGCACGTCTTCACACATCGACTCATATCTTTTGTCCTGTTGCTTTCCAAGCACAACACCATGCTTTAAAGCTGAAGCACAACAAAGGGCACTTCAGGTTTCCCCCAGACTGCCATTTGCTCCGATTCAGCAGGTTTTGGGGGGGAAGCGCCAAGGCAGGAGGGGGGACCACTTGGACACAGAGCTTTAAAGAAGGGACCTATGAAGTAGAAAAGGAGATCTGGATGAGTCTTTTATTACCTGCCCTTTGGCTTTGCTACATAAAGCAAACCCTTCATTAACCAGCCTTCAAAAGCTTTAATTTTTGCTTTGTCAATCTGTACTTCTCAGCTTAAGGGACGCAGGTGGCGCTGTGAGTTAAACCACAGAGCCTAGGACTTCCCAATCAAAAGGTCAGCGGTTTGAATCCCCGCGACGGGGTGAGCTCCTGTTGCTCTGTCCCTGCTCCTGCAGACCTAGCAGTTTGAAAGCCCGTCAAAGTGCAAATAGATAAATAGGTACCACTCCAGCAGGAAGGTAAACGGTGTTTCCGTGTGCTGCTCTGGTTCGCCAGAAGCGGCTTAGTCATGCTGGCCACATGACCCGGAAGCTGTACACCGGCTCCCTCGGCCAATAAAGCGAGATGAGCGCCGCAACCCCAGAGTCGGCCATGACTGGACCTAATGGTCAGGGGTCCCTTTACCTTTACTTCTCAGCTTATGAACTCCTGACTCCTTCCTTCCCTCCAGCAGAGGAGCATGTGCCCGCGCTGCCCAGAGCGGGCGTGCTCCCGAGGGGTGTGTGGTGTGGTGTGTGCCCTCCCAGGCACGGAATAGCCGCTCAGGGGCCCTGCAGCTGGGGGTGGAGTGAGCCGCCCATGGCGAACATTCGCCGCGCCACCTGCCCGCAACTCCCAAGCCTCCCCCAAGCTGTCAAAATGAAGAGGGAAGGGGGGAACGGCGCCAGCAGAGCAGTGCAGCTCCCCCTCTTACCTCGATGGCTCGGGGTAGGCTTGGGAGTCACGGGCAGGTGGCGTGCAGAATGTCACCCCCCCCCCAGTGAGGGCACCCGGGGCGGTCCGCCCCCACCGCCTCCCTTCCTAAGCCCCTGCTTCTCTCCCTCCCGCCCTCCGTCATTTCTACTAAGGAACCAGTCCAATGGCCTTCACTGTCTCCAGAACTTAGAATATTCTGATTTGAAACCTAGTGGGAGGGTTTTTGAAAAAGTGTGTATATGTTGCAAAGGAGTGGTACAGTTTTTTGTTTCTTGAGCAGGAACTAGGTATGCTAGTAGCTAGAAATGGAAGATAAGTTAGATATAGTTGCTTTGAGAGAGGTGGGAGGTTAGTTGGGCTGAAGGGGGGGAATTTAGGACTGCACACTGCTTACAGAAAGAGTGCAGAGTCACTGAGTCTCTGAGTATTTAGGCAAATTCGCACCTAGGTACTGCTTCTGGCTGTAGATGGACCCCTGACGGTGTTGGATTGTTTTCAGATTAGAAATGAGGGTGCCAAACGGTGCCTGGATGTTGGAGAGAACAACCATGGAGGGAAGCCGCTCATCATGTACCCCTGCCATGGGATGGGAGGCAATCAGGTATGGAATTCAAGAGAAAAGTCCAGTCAGGGTGGAATCCAGCAAAGCACTCCCATTAGTGCAAGGGTTTCTGTTTGTGCAATGAAACTTACCCTCCTTCTCCTCTCTTCTCAAGCCCTTTCCCACGCCCTTCTAGGGGATTGGAGAAAACCCCAGAACAGATTTAGGGGGTGCACAGGGAAAGATGTTCCATTGCACACCCAAAAGTCCTTGTGCAAATGGAACTGCTTCATTGGACCCCACTCCATGTCTCTTCTCATGTCTGAGCACACACCACAGGGCTTTGCTTTCAGGGACTGCAGTCTGGAAGTTTTGTGCTGCTCTATGATTTCAGGCAAACAGGTGCTTCTGTAGATAATTCTGCACTGTCTGAATTACTTTCCTAGTATAAAGGGATGCAGGTGGCACTGTGGTCTAAACCACAGAGCCTAGGACTTGCCGATCAGAAGGTCGGCGGTTCGAATCCCTGTGATGGGATGAACTCCTATTGCTCATGCCCAGCTCCTGCCAACCTAGCAGTTCAAACGCATGTCAAAGTGCAAGTAGATAAATAGGTACCGCTCTGGTGGGAAGGTAAATGGCATTTCTGTGTGCTGCTCTGGTTCGCCAGAAGTGGCTTAGTCATGCTGGCCACATGACCCGGAAACTGTATGCCGGTTCCCTTGGCCAGTAAAGCAAGATGAGCGCCGCAACCCCAGAGTCATTCACGACTGGGCCTAACGGTCAGGGGTCCCTTTACCTTTACCTTCCTAGTATAAGAGCTTACCCACATTTTTTTCCTAGGTTTCCATTTTAAAACAAAAAAAAGAACACTACATTAATCAAAATACACCTTCTACAGTCATACCTTGGATCTCAAATGGCTTAGTAGCTGAACAAATCGGCTCCCGAACGCCGCAAACCCAGAAGCAGGTGTTCCGGTTTGCAAACATTTTTCGGAAGCCAAATTTCCGACGCGGCTCCCATGGCTTTTGATTGAGTTCAGGAAGCTCCTGCAGCCAATCAGAAGTCACGCCTTTGTTTTTGAACGGTTCTGGGAGTCAAACGGACTCCTGGAACGGATTAAGTTCGACAACCAAGGTACAACTGTATAGACTTGTTCCCCAAAACAGCTGAGAACAGTTTTGCAAAACTGGTAAGGGATTGTTTACCCCTTTGCTTTGCATCCACAATTTCTTGAAGTGTAAAAATAAACCGCTCTACCCCAGAACGAAGCAAAACCCTGACTCCTCTCAATTGCTTTCTGATGAGGAAGGCCTCTTAGCAACTCCCCGGTGGCTGTTCTTTTGTGTTTTGTCGTTCTCAGTACTTTGAATACACATCCCAGCGAGACCTGAGGCACAACATCGGCAAGCAGCTCTGCCTCCGTTCCAAGATGGGACCCGTGGAACTGGGAGACTGTCACTATACAGGGAAGCACTCACGGGTGCCGGAAAATGAAGAATGGGAACTGACTAATGTGAGTGCTTTAAGTTATAGACATAGGTAGATTTCAGAGCGGCGGGCTTATCTCTTGCTCTCGGAACCCCCGTTTTTGCCCCCCCATCAGTCGTCCACTGCTTGCCAGACAGACATCCCTTGCTGCTATGGCTGCAGCCTGGCCAAAGTACATAATGGGCAGTTCTATTCTGCCATTTTTTCTGGAGAACAGGGAGTTCCTTCAGAGAGCAGCCCCTGAGTGTGGGCTTGGGGTGTGCTGTAATGAGAAGTTGCAGCAGCCACCACAAAGGAGGCTCTGACAATCCCTCTTGGCGTTCTGGGAGCTACTCACCCCCACTGCTTTGAAGGGGAAGTGGGGAAGAGAGAGAACTCCATTTTCACAACGCTATTTGTTTGCTGGGTTGTTCCATGTTTCTCTAGCAGAGGCAGAGGCAAACTTGGCCCTCCAGTTGTTTTGGGACTACAATTCCCATCATCCCTGACCACTGGTCCTGTTAGCTAGGGATGATGGGAGTCCCAAAATATCTGGAGGGCTGAGTTTGCCTATGCCTGCTCTAGCACCTGGTCTGGTGATAGTCTCAAAAAAAATAAAAGGCATTCTAAAAATTCATGGAGGGGCAAGTCTCTCAATGACTAACTAGTATTTATTAATTCATTCCATTTATATCCTGCCCTTCCTCCCCAGGGAGCCCATGAGAGCCAAATGAGCTTAGCTAAATAAGCACGGATGCTTAATAACCTGTCTGAAAATAGTTGATGCCAAAGACAGGGTTTTAATCTCTCTTTAAACAATAGGGCTGTGATGAAAAACACTGGAATTAAAATGTTTCTGGCTTTTGTTTCTTGGAGGGGGCTAGTGAGTCTACAGAACCCCAACAGGGTGATTTTGTTTGTGGGGTGGCCATATTCACAGTATTTTGGCAGCGGCGAGTTATGCTGACCAAGGTGCTACAGATAAGGAGAGCCTTTTCAAAAAATAAAAAATAAACTTCCAGAATTGGGGGAAATGCCAGATGAGCCACAATTCTTCCCCACGAACATGCTTCTGGGATATTCTGGTCTTCAGGGGAGTGCAGGAAGCTGTAGCCACTCTCTGACCACCCCAAAGAACTCCTGTCTTGTCCCTTGGCTGCTGCTGTCCATGGTAGCAGCAACAAGAGTTAACATATTCCTTGTTAATGGTCGTTTGCCACAAACAACAAAAAAACCCTGACTTGAGTGGCGGATATTTTCCCCACATTCAGTCAAGAGGGGAGAGGATGCTTTTGCAATGGTAAGTGTACCCCCCCCTTACTTCAGAAACACTGCAAATATTTCCCCTCCACCCCCCCCCCAAAACCAATGAACTTTGTCCCCAGCAAATACCAGGCAAATTTCAAGAGGGGCTGCCCCAAAGAATTGCATATTCCTAGAGTGCTGGACTTCCTTGGAAGCCTTGTGGGCTACAGGTAAAAAGGTAAAGGGACCCCTGACCATTAGGTCCAGTCACGGACGACTCTGGGGTGGCAGCGCACATCTCGCTTTGCTGTCCGAGGGAGCCGGCGTACAGCTTCCAGGTCATGTGGCCAGCATGACTTAGCCGCTTCTGGCAAACCAGAGCAGCGCACGGAAACGCCGTTTACCTTCCCGCCGGAGCGGTCCCTATTTATCTACTTGCACTTTGAGGTGCTTTCGAACTGCTAGGTTGGCAAGAGCAGGGACCGAACAACATGAGCTCACCCCGTCGTGGGGATTTGAACCGCCGACCTTCTGATCGACAAGCCCTAGGCTCTGTGGTTTAACCCACAGTGCCACCCGCGTCCTTGAGCTATAGGTACAGAGGTATAATATCCATATATCAAACTCTGTGAGGATACAGGGAAAATCTATCAGCTTTGTGTTCTCCTTTTCTAATTGCAAATAGGACTGTCTCCTACGTCTCTGAGGGATAGAATACTGGGCTTGGATGGACTTTGGAGTGATCTAAGTCAATGCTCTTCAATTTCTTCTTCTTTTAGGATCACCTCCTTAAAAATGTGGCATCTAACAAATGTCTGTCTGCAAGGGGAGAGCATCCTTCCATGGCTTCCTGCAACTCTGCAGATCCCCATCAGCTTTGGTACTTCAGCTAAGCAATCCTGGCCAAGACCACATAGCCTGTTGCCAAGGTCCTCTTGTGAAAGTTTCTGTTCTCTTAATTCCACTACCAAGAAGACAGAGGACAAGTTCAGAGAAAGAAGGGAACCCAGTCAAATATGCTGCGCAATCACACTTGACTTACAAAACACTTTTGTGCCTTTGTGGGATGGGATAGTCAAAGAGGACACAGCGAACCTTGGTGTATCTTTAGTTCTTTTTAATTAAGTAAAATTCCAAGCCAGTGAGTTTGCCCTTTAGAGTACCATAAGTATTGTTAATCAAAGCTCCATATTGTGAGACGGACAACAACGGTGGTTTTATTTTGCAGTAGATTTAAGGTGGGGGGGCGTTGATAGGATGTAAAATATTTTTTTCCCTCTTAACTTTTGTATGCTGTGAGCAGCGTAGGAAGTAGCAGTTTGCAGAGGTGCAGAGCCTGTCCTAAGAAATAGTTTACCTGTGGGATAGTTTGGGAAATAACTGATGCCAAAGATAAGAATGACTTTAAACTCTGTTACATAGGAAAAGCATCTTCTGGCCACACGGAGACTGTGGAAGGAGAAACTGCATTGTAAAGACTTTGGGGGGACATTTATAAGAGTTTATCATCTGTGTTCCCCCCCCCCAAAAAAAAGATCTTGCACACAGATGCAGTGCAGAAACTGTTGTCCCCCCAAGTTTCAGTAGGTCAGGACTGCATTTTACAATAGTGTAACACTGGAGTGTGGTATTGTTTTGTGGCTGAAATCTTCACCTCTTTGCACAGCCCGTTGCCAGTGCCTTACCTTGTCAGGCCTCTCACCATTGCGCTGCAAATAAGTCCCTTTCTCTCTTTTTTAAAACATCCTCAAGGCAGCTTAATCCCTTTACCAAAGAGGGGAGATGTACTCCCTGGACCTCAAACAAAGGAATGATGGAAGGGTAGCATTTTTGCTAGGCCCTTCCTTACGACTCCCAGTGTCAGGGACCTGGTGTGCCTTTCTGATCGCTGCAATCCAGACCTCCAGAGGCCTTTGACATGAACTTGACCCCCTCCCCACCTGTTTGATTGTACACTGTGATGCCTTAGAGCAAGGAAAGCTGCTAATGTGCCTATATTTTTTAAGGCCAGATGAAGAAGCTGCTTGCTTTGAGGGAACGGATGCTGCAGAAACCTGCAGAATCACCTTCATGGATGGGATTGTAGAGACTACCCAACAGGGAATGAGTGTGTGCGTGCCTGTCTTTACAAAAACACCTGCTGAAGTAAATTAGAACATGATATACTGCTAGTTGCAGTTGCCTGATGGAGCAAAACCCTGTTTTCCTCATTTGTTTTGTATGCTGTTAAGAAAAATAGCTTATTTGTTTTGGGGATGTCACTGGAGGTGGGGATTTTTATTTTTTTTCCAAATGCAAGCCCAAGATGCTGTTCAGCCACAAAGCAGCAGCTTCGTCGTGACTTCACAATGAGCCTCTTCTTACCCATAGCTTGATTAGCTATTGCACTGTCCATTTAATGCAAAGTGTAGAGATGAATTTGAAGGAAAATGTACCTCCAGAACATCCTAAGAATTGGGTGTTTTTGAGCACACTACACTTTAAAAGCCGTTTGTTTGTGGCGTTTTTTGAAGAAAGACCAAAGGTGCTGACTGTTTCCCTAGATTTTGAATGCAGAGGTGACATTGGTTTTCCCGTTGTGTTCATTTCCAGGAAGGCTTTAGCTGAAAGGCAAAGACCTGCCTCGGGTAAATTTCCAACTGGAAATAATAAAACTTAAAATTCTATTTTACAAGAGAATCTTGTGTGACTTTGCTTCCTTTCAAATTGCTCTTGAACAGTGTGTGTGTGTGTGTGTGTGTGTGAGAGAGAGAGAGAGAGAGAGAGAGAGAGAGAGAGAGAGAGAGAGAGTTAAATAGCAGGCTAATGTTGGAAGCTGCTTTTGAGAAAAATATTAGCTTCAAGTCTTCCCTTTGATCAGTCCTCATGTTTTAAGTGTATTCTGTATAAATATGTTGGACTCCAAAAAAATTGGAAAAAAAAATATTTTGGCTGGGTATATCAGACCCCATGGAAGTTGGGTGTTGCTCCCTTACTGCCACACAACGAACTTTTTAATTGCTTCTGAGTATTTCATATCTTGAGTCAAACATTGGAGGATATTTATACATAAGCCATTGGGGTCTGTGGAGAGATTCCAAACTGGCAACCATTTTCCTGCCCTTTTATCTCCAGAACCATTAATTTTCATGCGGTTGCCAGTGACCACAACATTTATCAGCAAAAGGGCACAGGACAATATATGTGTGGGACATATCATAGGAACAGCAGCAATGATGTTGCAGAGTGAGTGTTGTTCTGGAAATACTGCCCAGTCACATAATTTTGCACCACTAAGCAAAAGAGTTCACATAATGTCTGGGATCCAAAAAGCTGGTTTAGGCACACCCAAGAGTTTGGGCAGGCCCTGGGGTTTTCAAATTTATTTATTTTTTATTTATTGGAACAGCAAGCTGCAATGCCTCTGAAAGGTCTGCTTTCTGAAAGGTCCCTCGTTTCCAAAACCAATTAGCCATATGGTGTGTCTTTCTGAACTGCCCATGGGGTGGTTGGTAGCAAGTAGGATCAGTTTGCATAGGTCTAGGTAGACAAGGCTGTATATTGTCTCCCTGCTTATTTAACTTATATGCAAAATTCACCATGCGAAAGGCTGGGCTGGATGAATCCCTAGCCAGAATTAAGATCGCCAGAAGAAATATCAACAGCCTCAGATATGCAGATGACACAACATTGATGGCAGAAAGTGAGGAGAAATTAAAGAACCTTTTACTGAGGGTGAAAGAGGAGAGTGCAAAATATGGTCTGAAGCTCAACATCAAAAAAACGAAGATCGTGGCCACTGGTCCCATCACCTCCTGGCAAATAGAAGGGGAAGAAATGGAGGCAGTGAGAGATTTTACTTTCTTGGGCTCCATGATCACAGCAGATGGTGACAGCAGCCACGAAATTAAAAGACGCCTGCTTCTTGGGAGAAAAGCAATGACAAACCTAGACAGCATCTTAAAAAGTAGAGACATCACCTTGCCAACAAAGGCCGGTATAGTTAAAGCTATGGTTTTCCCAGTAGTGATGTATGGAAGTGAGAGCTGGACCATAAAGAAGGCTGATCGCCGAAGAATTGATGCTTTTGAATTATGGTGCTGGAGGAGACTCCTGAGAGTCCCATGGACTGCAGGAAGATCAAACCTATCCATTCTGAAGGAAATCAGCCCTGAGTGCTCACTGGAAGGACAGATCGTGAAGCTGAGGCTCCAATACTTTGGCCACCTCATGAGAAGAGAAGAGTCCCTGGAAAAGACCCTGATGTTGGGAAAGATGGAGGGCACAAGGAGAAGGGAACGACAGAGGACGAGATGGTTGGACAGTGTTCTCAAAGCTACCAGCATGAGTTTGAGCAAACTTCGGGAGGCAGTGGAAGACAGGAATGCCTGGCGTGCTCTGGTCCATGGGGTCACGAAGAGTCGGACACGACTAAACGACTAAACAACAACAACCAGGTAGACATATTGCTCAGACAACAGCCCCATGTAGAACATTAGAAGAACCTTCTAGATCAGGCCAGGGGCCCATTCAGTCCAGCATCCTGTTTTCACAGTGACCAACCAGATGCCTAAGCAGAATCTATCTGCAGTTTCCAGAACTGGCATTCAGCGGCATTACTGCCTCTGACTAGTAGCCATTGATAGTTCTCTCCATGAATTTTTCATCTGGGGGGACCTCAGATTGGGGAATGACTGCAGTGGGCACTAGCAGATGACGCGTGAGGAAAGAGACATGGGACAGTCATGAGCAGTCCACCACATCTCAATACAGTCGTACCTTGGAAGTCAAATGGAATCCAGAAGTCCATTCAACTTCCAAAACATTCGGAAACCAAAGCGCAGCTTCTGATTGGAGCAGGAGCTTCCTGCAATTGGACGCCCCGTCAGACGTTTGGCTTCCAAAAATAGTTCACAAACTGGAACAACCACTTCTGGGTTTGCGGCGTTCAGGAGCCAAAATGTTCGAGAACTAAGCTGTTGAAAAACCAAGGTACGACTGTACTAGTTTTTAGTGTGGTCTTTGCTCCAATCTGATACGTGTTTTGGACAGCAGGTTGTCCATTTGGACACCTCTCAAGGTATCGTGACCAATTCTTTTCATGGTGGTTCCTGAGATAAAGGAGCAGGTTTTTGTCTATGTTTACATACAATTAGGTGCCGTTTTGAATCAAGATGGCAGATTGAGCCTTTCAAAACTGCACTGATTTCTCCCTCCCCTCCAATTCCCAAGCTACACCAGCTACGAGGCTGCTAGTGGCTTTGTAAAAATATGTACAGAGGGTTATGAAGTCCAAGAGAACCTGGGGGGGGGGACCTGTGCACATCTCTTGCAGGTAACAGCAAAAATTGCTTTTCTTTACTTAGCTTCTGGTTACATGGGTATGGCTTTTGATCATGTTAGGAATTATGGTTACTCACCTCTGTTCCCTCTGAAGCAGCATGAAGTATAGTTAAAAATAAATGGGTCATTCCTCTTTTCTGCACTGTCTTGGAAGAAAGCTCTGTTGTCCCTTCTTTTCTCACTTCTCCACCTGGTGTCACCGCCCCTTGGCAGCTGTGACATTGGCACTGCTTCATCTCTCTCAAAGTGCAACGGCAGATCTACACACAGGGGGGCAGGAAACACTATAATAAGCCAGAAATTAAATTGTTATACCAAAAGAAAAAAAGCGCTATGTAAAATAGCAAATAATTTTTTTTTGCTCTCCAGTGCCATCTGGTGCTGCATGTTTATAACACATTCAAAGCGCTGTTTGGGTTTTTTTAGTAATGTAGCTGAGTCCCAAGTCTCAACAGGCTACATGCAGCTTGATGTTTTACCTCCATCTGGTCAGATCCTGCCCAACAATAATCCCTGTTACATCTCTGGCAGGGGGAGGACCCAGAGTTAGAGTTGCTTCTACTATAGCTCCTACAAAGTACTAGGGCCTGGTTTCGAGACTGCGCCTCTGGCCAATCTTAGCTCAAACTTTAGAATGTGCTCACTAGTCCCCCTAATGCCCCAGCTAAGGTGGTTGCTGTTGTACAATAAATCCAAAGTCACAACAATTGGCTATGAATGAAGGCGGGCTGAAACTGGTGGATTCTAACCTACCCAAAAGCTTGCCTGAAGAAAGCAACAAGAGGAAGGACTTGTAAGGCTTCGGGTAAGAGATGTGAGGACTCCTAGAGCCCAACTACCTCCTTCCCAAAGAAAAAGAGAAGAAGAGTTTGGATTTGATATCCCGCTTTATCACTACCCGAAGGAGTCTCAAAGCAGCTAACATTCTCCTTTCCCTTCCTCCCCCACAACAAACACTCTGTGAGGTGAGTGGGGCTGAGAGACTTCAGAGAAGTGTGACTAGCCCAAGGTCACCCAGCAGCTGCACGTGGAGGAGCGGAGACGCGAACCCGGTTCCCCGGATTATGAGTCCTCCACTCTTAACCACTACACCACACTGGCTCTCAAGCTGCTGCCCCCCACCCAGGAGCCCCTGTCCACTGGCTGGGAGAAACTGGGGGGCTCCAGGATCACATCAGAAGCTTGCCGTTTCATTTTGCTTTGTCACGAAGAGCCTCTGCACTAGAAACTTTGCTAAGTTTAACTGCCATGGTTTACCACCCCCAAGTAACTGTTATGACTTGTCTTTTTTATTTAAAAAAATATATATTCAGTTTTACAATATACATTAGAATTTAAACAATAATCATTAACATATAGGATTCCCCCCGCTCCATGGTTTGCATTGTCAAACGTTTCTACTGCAATTTTATAATTGCTCCATTTTTCTTAAAAATCCTTTTTTACCTTAGTTTTTCATAGATTACAAGTGTTGCTATGATCCTGCCAAAGTTTTTAGTTGTTTTCAGTGTTCTCTTAGATAACTTATAATTTTCCCCATTCCTTGTTAAAGTTTCTATCTTCTTAGTTTCTGATATTCCCGGTCATTTTCACCATTTTAGCTTGGTCCATCATCATTATCATGATTTGTCTTTTTTAAAAATAGAAAAAGGGTGCCCAGCATTCTTCACAAAATGCAGATAGTCTAGTGGCAATCTATCAACTTGTGGGGGAGGAGGAGGAGGAGGAGGAGGTAAGGTCCTTGACACACAGGTCAAGGTGTGTGTTGAATAGTGGGTAGACATGGCAGACGACACGGCGATTTCTCCAGAGCAGCTCTTTATTTTGTAAGCTGGAACAGAACTGAACAGCAAACAGCTCAGCCGGCCTGCTTTTATAGGCAGCCGGCTGTCAACATTGTAGCAACAACAACCCAGGGTTTCCCGCCTAAAATAACTGACGTGGACCTGAGTGAAAACTATCTACAGTATCCCCCTGCTGGCCCAGGATGAGAACTTCAGTACATAACAGTGTGGACTACCATAAAACACAACTTTCATCTGCAGAGATGCTCAACTTGTTTGCTGCTGTACAACCTCAAGCCTTTGTCTGCTCCCACAACTACAGTTCCCTTTACCCCAACCCTGGGTGTTGGTGGGTTTTTGGCGGCTTCTTCTTCTTCTTCTTCTTCTTCTTCTTCTTCTTCTTCTTCTTCTTCTTCTTCTTTAATACTGTTTGACTTCATAAGAATTCCCCCCCCCCTGTAAGTTCTTCTTTCAGGTAACTTCCTCAAACCAAACTAAATTTGTACCGGAGGTTAATGCCATTTCCCAGCAAGTTCCGATGGTAGAAAACTGCAACCTCGTGGAAAAATA